ATGCTTCATGGTGCTATGGATGGGTAAAGAGCTGGGTATGATGCAAGAAAGGTCAAGGCTGAGAAAATGCAAGAGGTTGGGTGGGGATGCTGGCAAGACATTTGAAAGCAACAACAAAGGGAAACAAAGGTGGGGGAGAGCGACTGTAGATACCTTTTTGGGTGAAATGCTGATAGTTCTGTGAGCTGAGGCTTGGATTTGTAGCTGAGGCTTTGGTTTGGCCCTATGGATAAGGACACCAATGGCATCTGTCAATCACAGTTCAGTACCTTCTGGAAGCTATGTAGGAAGGATTTTGCTGGAGAAAAGCCTTCTCTTCTGTAGTTAGGGTGCTAAGTATATTCCCTTCTTCTGTAGTAAATACTTTCCCCACCCTAGAGCTTTGCTAGTCTAGACAGCTCAAGAAAATGCATGGCTTCAACCATGTGGTAATTGCTGATCTTACACATAGACTGAATGTTGGGTGTCAGTATCATCTGGGTTTGCTGAGTTTGGAAATCTATGATAGGAGAGTGGGTCTTTCCTCCTCCCTTTTGCTTATCTTTGCAGTAGGGATATGAGGGAGCAGGGTTGTGGTAGCTTTTTGTGTGTTGGGCTGTATGAAGTACCGAGAGCTTCATCCTGCTTTCCTATCCTTCCTGGCATAGTCTTGCCTTTATGAACCAACTGGCTGGGAAGCTGGTGAGGAGGTACCTTTGGTATCAAGGCACAGCTTTTGTGGATGACTGAGCTGGCTGATGTCCTCTGTCCATCTAATAAGGAGAAATTTAGTACTCGGAAATAGTAACTCTGTATGGAAAAAGTCTGTTAGAGTGTTGCCTGTACCTGGGTTACCCATCTGCATTTGGGTGGATGTTTGCTGAGCTGTGGCTTAAAAAAAAAATGCAGGGAGGGAGCAACTGCTTCTCCAGAGCAGTTACTTATCTCTGAAGAGCCTGTACCTTCCCTGTAGGAACTATCAACGTTTTACTGAGAATTCTCATGGCTTGCACTTGTTCACAAAAAGTAGATGCATACCTGTTTTGTGGAAGGGGAAGATGTTTGTCCTGTCTCCCTGCCGAACTGGAGGCAG